GACCAGCTCCAGTTTCTGTGTCAAATGTGTCATACGGGGCGTACTCATTAAACACGGAGCACAGCGAAAGCGGGAGGGTATTGCCCTTACCGAGGCCCTGTAGGCTCGCCTCCGCAAGCTGAAGGCAGTCCACAAGCGGTCTCTCGCAGTGGCGACCTACAAGGAACTAGTACAGGTTCGTGCGGATCTGAACGCCCAACTGTTCTTGAAAGTTAAGCGGCGCGCCATGTGGGGCCGCAGGGCTTTCTATGAACACGCCAATAAACCCAGCAAATACCTGGCATCTCCATTACGAGGCCTGAAACATAAAACTTTTATCTCCCACCTAACCTCCAGACAGGGCACCCGGATTACGCTCTCTAAGGACATGGCGGAGGAGTTTTGCGACTTCTACCGCCGGTTATACAATCTACAGCCGGATCCCCTGATCCGGGGGTCGCCGGCCCGCCTAGCGGCGATGGACTTGCATCTTTGACAGTCGGGCCTGGCTAACATATGGGTGGAGGAGAGAGAGGGGCTGGAGCTCCCCATCTCCCCGGAGGAACTACAGGGAGCGCTAAAGCAGTCTAAGTCAGGTAAAGCCCCGGGCCCGGATGGCTACACGATCCCGTACTACCGTGGGTTTCATGATCTGTTATCGCCCCACTTCATAGAAGCCTATAAATCCATACTTCTCAACCGTCCCGTTCCGTTAGACTCCTTGGGGGCGCATATCGTGGTGATCCCTAAGGAAGGTAAGGACCCCGCACAATGCGGGAGCTATCTTCCAATAGCCCTACTTAATGCCGACATCAAATTGTTAGCGAAAATTCTGGCCAACAGGCTCTCGCCTATCGTCTGGAACTTAGTGCAAGATGATCAAGTAGGGTTTGTCTTAACTAGGGAGGCCATGGATAGCACAGCTAGAGCCCTCAACATCATTCATGGGGCTTGCTCCACCTCCTCCCCACTGATGATCCTCTCCACAGACGCCGAAAAGGCCTTCGACAGGGTGGATTGGGCGTTTTTAAGGTCCACCCTTCAGCACATCAGACTTGGCCCAAACATGTTGTCATGGCTACTCGCCCTCTATTCATGTCCCACAGCGGCGATACGGGTCAATGAGACCAGGTCTCCGCACTTCCCTCTCACGAATGGGACGAGACAGGGCTGCCCCCTATCCCCATTGATGCACATCCTAGCGTTGGAACCTTTTCTCGGTCATGTTAGACTTAATGGTCGAATAGCCGGACACCGGCTCCATTCGGTGGACCATAAGGTCGCAGCGCACGCTGACGACCTCCTATTTTTCATATCCCAGCCTCGCTCTTCCCTCCCGAAACTTATGCGGGAGTTTAGGGAATACGGAGCTCTCTCGAATTTGGCCATTAACTGGGCTAAGTCGGCTGCTTTGAACATCACTCTACCTCCGGCAGAGATGGGAGGAACGTTCTCTGCCCTACCTGGGCACTTTTCTCACCCCTGATCTGGAATCATTATATGACGCCAACTTTACCCCTCACTTGCTCAAGATTAAACAAGACCTGAAAAAATGGCAAGCTCTCACGGTCACTTGGTTTGGTCGCTGCACCTCGCTCAAGAGACCATACTACCTAGGATCCTATACATAATGCAAGCGCTGCCTATTTGTCTTCCGCCAGCCTTCTTTGCAGGCTGTTCTTTGCTCCGCAGGCTGTTCCTGACATACATTTGGGCGAATGGAGCACCCAGAATAAACAGACGCCTCCTAGCTATGCCAAAAGCCTCAGGAGGGATTGGACTGCCTGACGTGGCCCTCTACTATAGAGCTGTGCACCTCTCAATAGAGTAATCGATTGGTGCTGTCACTCAGCCCACAAACAGTGGGTGCGCATGGAGTTGCAGGTTTCTACGGTGCCGCTGACGGGACTCCCATGGCTGTCCGGCGCCATACCGGCAGCGTGCTCCAAGCATCACACAGTTGGGGCCACGCTCAGGATCATGCGATCCCTCTTTAGGTCATCCCGTCTTTCCCCGTTCCCTTCCCCGCTCACCCCAGTGAACGGGGACCAGGATTTCCCGGTGGGCCTGGAGCACAGACGCTTACGTAGCCTCGTGGGCCTCAACAAGTTTTGTGTCCGGGACTTTCGAGCGGGAGGCTCCTGGATGCAGGTGCCTGATCTCCGGACATTGCTAGACCCTCCCCTAGATGTCTGGACCGCCTACCAGCTTAGGCACTTTCTCCTGGCTATTCCGGCTTCCCTTCAATTGGATAGACCCCTGACCCCACTTGAAGATATCTGCGTGCGAGGGGAGCCGGTGCGCCATGCTTTGTCTCTGCTCTATAAATTACTAGTGACACCCCCCGAAGAGTACTCCCCTCAGTACCTACTGAGGTGGGAGGCGAAACTAGGCATCACCCTCTCCCCCGAACAGAAAGACAGCATGATTAATTTCGCCATTAGGTGCTCCATCGCCAATAAATTCCATGAGCAGGGGTACAAGGTTCTGTCCCGATGGTACCGGGTCCCACACGTTCTCCACAAAATGAACTCAGCCATCCCGGATGTATGCTGGAGATACGGTACAACTGGAGGTACTATGCTTCATATTTTCTGGAATTGCCCCCTGTTGACTAGATTCTGGGTGGAGGTGGGAGATATCATCAATACCCTAGTGTTGCCGAGTCTGGAGCTGAGCCCGGAGGTGTTTCGCTTGCACATGACCAAACTAACACGTCGCCAATACAAAGCTTCCCTGTCGGTGCATCTACTAAATGCAGCGAAAGCCTGCGCCCCAGCGCTCTGGAGATCAAATCTGGCCCCGTCACTGCGTCTATGACTCACAAAGGTCAATGAGATTTACCTTATGGAGGATCTCACGTCCACCGTCCATAATACAGAAGAGAAGTTCCGCACTACTTGGAGAGCGTGGACTCACTACATCACCCCTGGCCCTTACCTGCAAATCATGACCCCGGAGAGTTAAACCTCGGGGATACCCTAGAGTAGGAGGACCTGTGCCCTGGACTTCTGCTAGTGCTATAGCCCGCTAGAGGAAACTGACAGCTGACCGGTGTTGGGAGTCGGGTCCAGGGAATGGCAGACCCCTCTCCTCCTTGTTCCTCCCTCCTCCCACTGTCCCCCCTGACCTAAACTGACTACTGCTTTTCAACCTTCTCTACTCTTCTTCCTCCCGTTCTACCCCTCGGGGTACTTGCCTTATTCACCTTACCTTCAGAGTGCATACCCCTCTGTAGTTGAAAGGATACAGTGCTGGGGGCTTAGTGCCTACCCTGGGTCCAGTGGCCGGGTTACCATGCCCCATGGAAAGAAGCGACGACAGGTGGGCACAGCCCACAGCACTGTCATTTTATGTGATAAGGTGAAATAGATGCGATTCCAGAAAACGATGTGTATGGTATTTGACCAGTGACAGATGTGACGTTTTTTCACCAGGACCGATTTTATTGTTGTGTCACTGAGTCTCGGTAATACTTCATTCGCACGAGAAATAAATAACTTTAATGTCATGTATGCCTATACCTTACAAACGTGAATCAGTTGACTGCCTGCGTGCAGTCCTTGTTCTTTTGTGATACATGCAAATGTCTGTTTATCATTTTACTGAATGAACACGGATTTAAAAAAAAAAAAAAAAAGTCCCTCACGCCCAGCACTTATATACGTAAATACGCGTTGTGCGGGCCTACGTGCAAAAACAACGATTGCGCCGCACATGTTACATATCGCCGCGAACATCGCAGCAATAATTCTAGGCCAATCAATCACTGATAACAGTAAACTGATGAGCGGTAAAAGCTTTTTAAGCATCGCCTATGGCCAATTTTAGGCATGGTAGTTTTTTGTGATTTTTGTGGGCACACGCGATTTTAAAGTTTGATATGTTTGGTGTGTATTTACCCGACATGACCCCATCTTTTATATTTTACCAAAAAATTGGGTAATAAAATGTTTTATAACAATGTAGAGAAAACAGGTTGTTTTTCAAAATTTTTGGTCCTTTTTTTGTTGTATATTAAAAAATAAAACCCGCAGTGGTGATTAAATACCACCAAAAGAAATCTCTATCTGTCCCTAAAAAAAAAAAAAAAAAAACAGGAAGGGGGTTTAACATCCCGGTCAGCAAGTGGTTAACATACTTGAATCCAGAGTTAGGTGGCTTCCTTATCTGGATATGCTTTCTTTCTAGTGTTCCAATACATTTTGGAATTGTGTGATGTTCCAATATTCTACTGCTATGTCCTGCCACTGGCGTTCTATAATAATAATTATTTAGTATTTACCAATAGGAATGAGATTGTTTGAATTGCTGGCAAAGGAAGAAACGTGTTGGGTGTGGGGAAGAAAGCTAGGTGGTGGGGAGCCTGAATTTAGGGAAATCTCCCCAGAAGTCAGGAGAACCAGGAGTACGAATTGGCGTGTAAAATGCAAAACAAAGCTTCACTTCCCAAAAGAGTTTTTCCTGCGTTTTAGTTAAACGCAAGGGACACATGTGAATGTGGCCTAATATTGATTTTTACCTTTCCATACTATATATAAAAAGGAAAAAATTAAGTTTTGGCTATACATACACTTTAAAGTTTACTGTATAAATAAATAGACCCTAGCTCTATTGACAGTAATATTGTATAATTAAAGTAATATTCCATCTGCCAACACTGTTCCATCTGCCAACACTGGCTTTCCAAATTCTTTAATCAAATATACATACTTAAAACCTAAATGAAAGGTCTTGTATAAAATATTCTACATGGACAAAATAAAAAAAAATTTTATTTACAAATAAATCCATAACCAAATTTACACCAGTTTGCCAAGGACCCACTTTGGGTAGGCTATATAAAACAATATAAAGACATTTAGTGTCTAGCATGTGCTGATGATAAATTTACAGAATTCTTTTCCGGGTCCATCGTCATTTCTTTACTGATAAGAGGTAAGCTTGGCATTTATTGCAGTCCATATGTATGTAAAATATTAACTCTTCCTCAGCCAATGGCTAGAGGAGATTTTACACCATACCTACTGGCATTTATCCTTTGCTCTTTCTTCCTTTGGTTTGTATCTAGTTATAATTTGTATAAGAATATAACAATTTATAATGAGAAAAAGCAATCCAGCTATCCACACTTGAAGAAATGTGTTTTTTCCTTCAAATTCCAAGTAATAGGCTGGAGCCAGCCACAAAGCCTACAAGAGAACAAAACAGTGTCAGTCTCTTTAAAAAGTGGTAGACAAGGTGAAGGACAAACCATTAAAAAAAAATCTTAGGCTATATAAGTGCTATGGTCAGAAAAATATGTAATTCAGAGGGGTTAAGCTGATGACATGAGCCATAATCCTGGAAAATATACTGTGTGACATCATGCAGACTTCGAAAATAGTTTGTATGTTTAATGACATAGTGACAATTTGTCTTCATGCACACAACTGTGTAATTCTATAGAATTAACCTCTACATTTCAGGTTTTGCCATATGTTCCTGGAAAATGTCATAATTACATTTCCTTTTCTGTAGCTACCAAATTTGAGGCATGCTATAAAATAACGTTTAATATAAATTACATACTGTATCATTTACAGCAAGCATACGTTTATGCACATTGTGTTTCCAATGTTTATCCTTTGATTTAATACTTTAAAAAAATGATTTTGCCTGCATGAAAACTTAGTAAAATTATATAATGGGTACTACCTGTCCCAAAAACCACAAAATTAGTATAAATATTCCATGTTGCAATGACATCTGCAGTCCAGGCATAATAAGTGGCAGGAGACAGAGATACCAGAGGAAATACTAGAAGATAAAACGAGAATATTAAAGTTGTTTTAACTTTCTGAGAAAAACATGTTAACAACAGACGGTACGTGGCTTTTTGACTTTGTCACCTAAAAAAGTATATTTCTACAAAATGTTTCATGATGTATCAAATCAGAAAAATCCATCTGACTTTCCCATGACTGGCGGACAGCAAGTTCACGCCAAGTATATTGTCTGCCACTAGGGCTGCAACAACTAATCGACTAAATCGATTATTGAAAAAGTTGTCAACGTTTTCAATCATCGATTAACCTCCCTGGCGGTCTGATTTTTTCATTTTTTTTCTTCCACTTTTTTCTCTATTTTGTTTGCGTTTGTTGTCACGTTTAAATTTTCCGCCGGTTCCGCCCCCCTGCGACGCGTACAGTCGCAAGGGACGGAACCCGGATCACAGATGCCGGCAACGGCCGGAGGACACAGCGGGGATCATGGACAAGATAAGTGTGGCCCACAACATAATATCATACTTATTAGGCCCTGTTCACACCGTGGCGGTTTGGCCGCGCGGATCCGCCAATGACATTGCTACGGGGACGGTTCAACCATTCGTGCGATCTGAACCGCCTCCCGCCCGAACTGCTCCCTGAGCTTTTTTTCCCTGGGCTGATCAGCACAGTTCCCACACAGCTTTCAATGGAACCGCACTAATCAGCACGGTTTTGGGAGTTTTTAATTGCGTTTCAGCTTTGAAATGCAATTCAGAAAGCCCAAAACCGCCTTTTTAAAAATTGTGCAGACACCGCGCTGATCCGCACCCGCCCTGGTGTGAATGGGGCCTTATACATATCATTGCATAACATAATATACTGCATCATAAACTCACATAACAAAGACATAAAAAGACACACACAAAAGGATTGATGGGCACTATACAAAACAAAAACTTGGACAGACAAAAAACAAATTTGGCTGTAGTCAAGCTTATCAGACATATAGGTTACTAGGTCCAGAAAAGCAATATTCTTATCAATACTACAACTGTCGATTAATATAAAATAAGTATTAGTAGTTCTGAAATCCATCCAGCAAGCCCAAGTTTTTTAAAATTGTGCAGGTTTTTCACCCTTCATATATGTAAGTTCTTCCAAGAAACAAATCTTATCCACTTTATGAAGCCATTTCTTTATCATTGGGCTGCTGGGCAATTTCCAATATGTAGGTATTTAAGATTTTGCTGCATTTAGCAAAAAGAGGAATTACAGTTTTTGTTTTTTTTAATAAATCTCAAAACGAGTCCTTGGTGAGGGGAAAGAGACACCCATGGGTCACATGGGACCATCGTCCCAGTAATTTGAAAAATAACATCCAGGACCCTTTTCCAAAATTTTTCAATAAGTGGACAGCCCCACCATATAAGGGTGAAAGTACCCATAAAACCACAACCACGCCAACAAAGAGGGGTATTGATGTGTATCCTGGGGCATTATACCACCTAGCTAATATTTTAAAATTGAATTCTGTTACATGCCCAAGCTCACTTCCCTGATAGACTACAATCTCAAGTTTAGTTTACTAATTTGTACTAAGATTGTAGTCCATCACGGAAGCCAGCTTGGAGCTGTGGCTACTTTACAAACACACACAGGGACCTTGGGGAACAAAAGGGAGACATCCTCCAGAAGGAAGGAGAGTGTCAGCACAAATACAGAGAAGATTTACAGCTGAGTGATGCACAGATATGATACTTTTCGTTAATGGTTAAGGTACTTGAGTGTATTCATTAGGGATGCACCGATATATTGGCCGCCGAAACATATCGGCCGAAAGTGGCACTTTTGGCTGAATGCCGAAAGTGCCATTTTCCTGCTGATACATTGGCGCATCCCAGGTTTCTGGGCAGGCAGCTGGGCTCTGCTCTGTGTCCCAGCGGGTAGGAGAGAAAGTGACAGCTGGCCGAGCGCTGTGAGCGGCCGCTGTCTCTCCTCCCACACCGCTCGGCCGCCTATCACAGTGCGGCAGAGCAGTGTGGGGGCGGAGACAGCGCTGTCGCAGGAGGCTGAGCTCTCCTCCCGCACCGCTCGCTCAGCCTCCTGTGACAGTGTGTAGTAAAATAAAAAATATATTTAATAAAAAATTAATAAAAATCATTATTAAAAAATGAAAAAGTTTATAAAAATAAATGAAATATTACAAAAAAATAAAAACATTTTCGGTTTTGGCCTGACAATTTTTTTATTTGGGTTTCGTTTCGGTTTTTAAATTTCTATTTCGTTGCACCTCTAGTATTAATATTTAACTACTGAGTTTAGTGTCACTTTAACATTTCAACTTTGAATTAGCAGTCCACTCTGCTAAGTCTTAACTACGCTGTTGCTGGTCACAGACAATTGGTAACCAATCAGCGTTATTCCCAATCGTCATGGTCAGGATATTCCAATATGGTGATTGTGGGAAGTTTGTTTGCAAACAAACCTCTCTTGTTTAAACATGTCACTGTGTCCCTCTAAATGTTACAAGGTATTACAGTGTGCAAAATAAAATACAACAAAAGTTAATAATTTTCCTTGTATTTCCAATTACCTAAAGATTTCTTCCTAGACAGGTAGAATTATTTTGTCCTGATCACAATCAGTGTAAGTTAGATCAATGGGAAGAATAGTCATTATACATAATTAATATTTAGGCTTCACACGTAAGCATTTACAGGTTTTCACTTTTTTTTGCAAGATTTTGCACGTTTTTGCTATTAAAAATGCACATTTATCCCAGCATAGAGATGTATAGGCATCCAATGAAAAGCAGAAACAACCATGGCCTTGTAAGAGTGTTAAGACAGAGGCATTTGCAATTAGGGTGTAAGTTTGCATATGTGCAGGAAGCTTACAATTCTTGTGACAGGGAACAAGAGGTCTCTTTTCCAAAGAACAGCAGGGGAGCGGGTGAAGGCTAAGCAGGAGAGCAGACAGAGATGGGTGTATATTTACTGACAGTGTAAAGCTAAAGAGGTGCATGAAGCCTCTAGTGCTCTTCTCTTTTTTATATGATTTTTATATGATTTACAGGACATGACATAGGATATAAGAATAGCTCTGTGTACTGCAGAGTCAATGCATTACATCAGAGGTGGTCTTCTTACTCTAGATAGCAAAAAATATAATAAGGCAGAAAATATCAACGCTGGATGTTGGTAAAATATGGGAGCTCTCAAAGTGGGGCTATCACAAGACTTTTCGAAAAGTAAAAGGTGGCAAATCTATGTGTATCTAAATCTCCTTTCAGAGTAACAGCTACAGAATCAATGGACGCAAGACCTACAGAAAGGCAAATTAACCTTTCAACATCTGGAGTGTGCCCCTTTAAGCCGATTAAACATTGTTATTATAGCAAGCATACAAACAATATGGCCACTAAATGAGTTAATTCCTCCAAAGATGTGCCATGCCTACATCTCATGAACAGTTTAGCAAGATAAGGGGTAAACGTAACCTCCATAGAAGGGACTACAAATAGAAAAACACTTCAAAAAGAAAACATTTGTTAACAGGAACTCCACTGCTACTATTATAAAAGGCTATCTCCACATTTATATATGTACTATAAAATGTATAAATGTATTGCAATCAAAGCCAATGAATAACTATTTTGAAACATGGCCCAAAAATACATCTGTAACCAGATAAAGTGTTACATGCGGGACAAAAAAACTATTTGTTTTTCTCAATATAAACAAGAAGGTGACAAAATAAAAGCTTGTTCTTTACAAAGTTTTTAAGTGTCCATTCTAGGTTTTGTAACCCTTTACATAGACAAGGGATTTTAGGCATTTTGTCATTGCCAGCTGCTGACAGAATACCATGCAAACAGCAGGAAATTCCTCAATCAATGCTCATAAGCGCTGATGGAGGAATCTGTTCTATTTTATTGTTCAGCCCGCAGGTTGAATGCGAAAAAATAGAACACTGTATGGCCAGCTTAAAATGGGTGTGGCTTAAACATATAAGCGTGTTCTTATGTGCTGCACGTCTATTCAATAAAGTGATTCAAGTTGAGGACTTTGGTATGTGATTTTTTTTTTTAACTATTGCCCACATTTCCAGGAAGTTCATACAAACATATAATTATTAACTGCACATACTGTAGAGTGCACATAAAATCTTTTTTTTTTTTTCTACAGTAAAATAGATAAATCTGAAACCAAATAGATTTATATATATACACACACACAACATACATTATACAGGTTTGACATATAAAAAATATATATTATGCCCAGATAAAATACATTATTGGGAGCGGTTTTACCTGGCAAAGGTATAGTATTTCTGTCCATGCAATTCTGAGACTGAGCATTCTACACAACGCAGTTTTCTATAACAAACCTTCAACAAAGATCAGTCTCTTGACTGAGCAGTGTGCTCCTACATCTAAAATATGAACTGAATTAGGTACTCCAATACCTACTGATGTTTTATCTGGATCACATGAATAAGGTTGCATGAATTACCTGGGATGTGCATACTTTGTTGAAGCTCACAAAAATAGAGATATTGAGAAAGCAGCAGAACTCCAGGTCTTTATAATAGGCTCCAGATACCACACAGAGTAAAATTATCTGAGGAAGAAAGGCGATGAGACCCAGGCTGATGCTCCAGTCACTTTCAGCTTTAAGGTACAACATGTAGAAATATGGAGAAAAATTGTGACGTATATCTCTTCGAGTCAGATGATACAGGTACGTGTGCTCAAGGAAGTCCCAACCATACCTGACGGAAAAAAAAAAGAAAATTAAGGTTTAGGCAAGAAAAAGATTTTAAAGAGTAATGAAAAGGGTTACAGCAACTATCATTTGGAGCAACAAGTTGCAGGATATGTAGAGATTTTTTGGAATCTAGAGACTTTGTACGTCTTTCAAAAAAGCTAAATTTACCTGTCTGTTAGAATTTTTTAAAGAAATTGTACACTGCCCACTGCCTGTGGCACATTCGCAGTGCTTAGTCCTGGAATCTACAAAATGCAGAGTTCAGCTGATGTAGGCCCAACGCAACTCATTCCAGAGCACATGTGGGGGAGTTGCATAATCACCCGCCACACCTGGCTGAAGTTCTGCTTTAAAACACATCTAAACCTAAAAACTAAAAATGTTATATAAAATGGTGTTCTGAGTGCTTAAAGGAGAACTATGAGATGAGTGATTTCCACTCACCTCATAGTTCTAGCCGACCTGTGACAATGAAACTGTCACAGGTCGGCTCAGTAGATCGGGAGGTGAGCGAACACACCTCTCGATCCTGTCACGGCTGACTGGCGGAACGGACGTGGTAGGGGGCAGGTACAGCTGGCTCTGCCTCTATATAGGCAGAGCCAGCTGTCACTCACGCAGCTGGGCGGATCCCGTCATCTACGTCGGGATCCGCTCCGGCTGCAGCATCTCAGTATACCACGAGCTGTAGCTCGCGGTATACTGAGCTTAGGGTAACACGAGGACGCTAGTTTGTGTCCTCCCGTTACCCTAAGGAGAACTATGGGGAAAAACACTGACCCCATAGTTCTCCTTTAAGTGTTTATTTAACTCCTCATGGCTGAAGGACTTTTAAATAAAATTTCTGTCTGATTCTTCCACGGAAATAATATACTTTTTGTATGAAGTGCACCCACACATTTAGTTACATAGTAGATAAGTTTAAAAAAAAAAGACAGGTCCATCCAATCCCACCTATGTGTCTTTGTGTTTTTTCTCTGCAATTAATAGGCTCTTAGTACTCCCCATATCCTTCTATATTTTGCGAACTAAGAAACTCATTTAGAAGTGTCTCGAATTTATCTATGCCATCAGCGGATACTACTGACTGTGGACTGGAATTCCACATTTTTACTCCTCTCACAAAAACCCTTACGCAGTCTACGATTAAACCTCCTTTCTTCTAACCTCTTGTTGTGTCCCTGTGTCAATAGAGTTCTTGGTGTAAACCTTTTTTCCCCAATACCACTGTCCCCATTTATGATTTTAAAAACTCCAATTAGGTCCCCTCTTAAGCGCCTCTTTTTTAAAAGGAGAATACATTTAATTTCCATCCCCTTTATTAATTTCGTAGCTCTTCTTTGAACTCGCTCGATTTCGTGGACATCTTTCCTGTGGATTGGTGGCCAAAACTGAACCACACACTCAAGATGTGGCCGAACTAGTCAGTCATTTATAAAGTGGAAAAATTATGCTTTTATTTCTGATGTTGCCACCACCATTGAACATCTTGTACATCAAAATCATGTCCCCTCTCAATCGCCTCACTTCTAGCGTGAACATGTTTAAATTTAGTAACCTTGTCTCAGCTTTGGTCCTCCATCACCTTAATTAGTTTAGTTACTCTCCAGCTCAAGGACATCGTTTCTGTGAATTGGTGAAGAAAACTGGACCGCATACTCCAGATGAGGCCGAACTAGTGATCTATAAAGTGGCAAAATTATAGCTTTGTGTCTACAGTACATTCCCTTTTTAATACAAGACAGTACTCTGCTCGCTTTGTTTACAGCAGCCTGGCATTGCAAGCTATTGTTCAATCTGTGGCCTACTATGACCCCCAAATATTTTTCCCATTTCTGACTTCCCTAGTGGAGTACCCATTAACCATCTGCTTTCCGGCTGTTTTTAAACATCCCATCCCGACCCGCTCGTGCCCGCCTCTAGGCGGCGCGCACGAATGGGAAATCGGCTTTGAATGTTAACAGCCAGCGATGGCTGTTTACATACAAGCGTTCAGACGCCTGAAGAGACGCCCGATCGCTTGTAATATGCGTGCGGGTGTGCGCCCCCTCCGTCGCAGCTGGCGATCCCAAGTTCCGCTGTTCCCGGTGTGAGCCCGGGACCAGCACAGCAGCTCTGCGGCCGGAGATCAAAGGGAGATCAGTACAAGATCTCCGTTTGATCTCCTACTCCTCGTCGGAATGCAGGAAGTGATGTTTATTACATCACTTCCGCATTCCTCTGTCACTCTCCAGTACAGAAACCGGAGAGAAGCTGGTGAAGCAGGTATCTGCTTCATCAGCTTCTCTGGGGGTCCCTAAGTGACATTAGGGGTCTTTAAGACCTAATGTCTCCATAAAGAGGACCTGTCACTGCAAATTGGCCATCACATAAGGAGCTTGTTTGGTCCCTATGTGATAGCAATAAAGTTAAGTGGAAAAAAAAGGTTTAAAAAAATTAGTTACAAAAAAAATTAAAAAATTAAGTCACACATCAAAGCAATAAAAAATTAAAGTGCCCCGCCCCCACATGCACATGTGTTGAGTCCGCCTACGTGCAAAGACGACGATTACACCCTCCCAAATTTCGTTAATAAACAGATTGAATAAAATGGGGCCTAGCACAGAACCCAGGGGCACCCACTCATGACCCTAGACCAATCTGAAAAAGAGCCATATATCTATACTCTCTGGACACGCTCCTGTAGCCAGCTCTCTATCCACGTACAGAACATTTAATCTAGATCTCAGCTTGTGTATTAAGCGTTTATGTGGTACTGTGTCAAACGCTTTAGAAAAATCCAGATACACTAAATCCACCGGCCTCCCTCCATTCAGATCTATAGTCACCTCTTCATAGAATGTTAGTAAGTTGCTTTGACAAGAACAGTCCTTCCTAAATCCATGCTGATTATCATTTATTATACCATTTTCATGAACAAACTCCCCTAAATAGTCCTTTATTAGTTTGCATACTAATGATGTTTAGACTGACTGGTCTGTAGTTTCCAGGTTGGCATCTTGACCCTTTTTTGAATATCAGTACTACCGTAGCTTTCCGCCAGTCACCTGGTACTCTACCAGTCATTAAGGAGTCCCTGAAAATGAGGAATAACGGTCTCGCTATAACCTGGCTGAGATCTTTAAGTACTTTGGGGTGCAGGTTATCTGGTCCTAATGCGTTATTTGCATTACGTTTTTCAAGTCTTTGTTGAACCCCAGCTACCGTCAACCACTGTGGTATCTTTTGCATTGAGCTACTCGCATTCTTATCTACATTAAACCCGTATTTTTCCTGAGTGTATACCAAGGAGAAAAAAAGAATTCAAACACCTCGGCCCTCTCCCTGTTTGTGATAAATCTCCCATTCTCATCTTTTATTGGGCCTATATGCTCTTTTCTTACCCTTCTACTGTTTATATATTGGTAGAATTTTTTGGGGTTCATCTTACTGACTGTGGTGATATGCTTCTCGTACTCTATTTTAGCTGCCCGGATTTCATGTTTACATCTTTTATTACATTCCTTGCAGTTCCGGAATGCCAAAGCCGTCCCCTCCATCTTATATATTTTAAATGCCATGCTCTTGTCTTTGATGTGTTGTTTTACGGTTTTATTTAGCCATGCAGGCTTAGTTCTTGATCTTTTATTTTTGTTACCCAATGGTATGCACTTGGTAATAGCGTTATGTAATGCATTCTTAAAACAATCCCACTTCTCGTCAAGTGTTAGAAATAAGTTGTCCCATTTTGGTATCGCATACTAACTGGTGCAGCTTATCAAAGTTTGCGTTTCTGAAGTTTAGTGTTCTTGTCAGAGCAACACACTTCTCTTTTCTGTATCCAACATTAAAAGTAATCACCTTGTGATCACTATTACCCAATGTGTCCATAATGGCTATGTCTGCAATTAGGTCCACATTATTGGAAATTATTAAATCTAGTTTTGCATTTTTCCTAGCTGGAACCTCAACCAGGAAAGTCTGGACCGCTTAATTGGGGTTTCTTTTGCATTTGGTTGCTATGTGTATTGCTATGGTATTATATATTGTTTTTTGGAGGACAGATAGGACTACAGTATATATTTATATCACATATGTGTGCCTAACACCTCAGTACGAATAAAATATTAATAAATTAGGAATAAATGCTTTTTCCCCAGTTTTGATTATGTTTTTAGAAAAATAACAGCTAAAACAAATGCATTATAATAAATTAATTTATTTTTCCTTTATTTGGAAACACCTCACATGTCTAGAATTTCATACATTTTTCTGTTCTTTTCAGCTTAAAACTGAAAGCTAACATTTATTTATTTTTTCTCTAAAAGCTAATAGTGGTCACCAGGTTAGACAGGTGGTCACCAGGTTAAACAGGTGGCATACAATGTCACTAAGTGTCACACTTAGTGATAGCGACATACTTTGAACATGGCCGTCATGGGGGGGGGTTAAATAAAAAAATGATCCTCTTAGGGTTAAAAACAAATCTGCATCTCAGTTGCAGATTTTCATTGCAAGGGGTTATTTTTTATAATTCTAGTAGGGATGCACAGATACTTTTCGAGTACCAGTGCAGATAATTCCCACACATTTTAGCTTCTCTTGCTGTCAGTTATTGCTAACAGGGAGACAAGGGGGTGGCTGGTTGCTACAATGATCAGAAGCCTGAAACAGGCAGCTTTCTGCTTTTGCTGAATGTTTCTATTCTGAAGTATTCAGCAAAATGCTGGTACAGATCGTGATTTGCTAATCCCGATGTGTACAGCTGCCTCACAGTGATAGGAGGTGCGGTTCAAACCGCACTCCTATTACGGTCAGACAACCACCACTGAAAGCGATCAGGTGTTTGAAACTGCTTGATATAGTTCATTAAAGGATGCCTCACTAATGATGCCTCAAGCAGTTTTGAAATGTTTCATAAACGGTAACAGATGCTCTCAGCAGTGAATAGCTGTGCACAGTGTACTGTATGTGAGCAGTCGTTTGGGCACTTCGTGACGGGGACGTACAGCGTACGTCTCCCATCACTAAGGGGTTAAATAATATCTGTGTTCATACTACCAATCAAAAAAATACATTAAAAAATAATCAAATTCTTCTCTGTAATC